AGGAATGACTACAGTAATATCTGATCATGTGAGATTCTTTTCACGCTTTTTCAGACTCTCAGGACACATCTACACATCGTCATATGGTGATATTGCTACGGTGCCGTGCTTTAGTACTTCTTTTTGGAAATACTAAAGCACAGTGCAGTACAGGTGGTTACTGCGCCGTATGTGTGGCGCACGGGTAGATTTTGTCACTAGCAGTGCACTATACCTGGGGAGCACGCTGAGCACACTGTAGACACATGTGATCACTGTGTCACCATAGCACATTCGTCACCTTAGGGCAACATGTAGATGAGCCCTCAGAGGCTATGATTCTCCACTGATCTCCATCTTCTACAGTCACATCAGTGCAAAGGGGGAGTAGTGCAACACTGCACAGGTATAAATGACTTCACGAAGAACAAGACAGCAGTCAAACCCAGTAATTTCAGGTAGTTGGTTAAGTGTTCTAGCTGGTCTTACTATTACCATTACTGTGGTAATACTTACTACCCAGAGTGGTGTGGTGGCAGAGTGATTAAAGTGCATCATTATGGCTCAAGAAGCATGTAGATTGGCACCTGGTCATTTAGGAATCAAAGGCTGTGCTGATAACTGTCTCAGTCTGTTACATGCCATGGGCTACAGAAGCTGACATGCCTTAAGCACACTAGGCCAGGAAGGCATTAGGCTGAGAGCACCTTTGACCTACAGGTCACAGTTGGGTTGATCTCAGGTGTTTAAGACATTATACAAACAAATAATTAGTGACAATCCCTTCCCTAGAGAGCTTCAAACCAATATACTGGACCTGTATAGCTTTTTCCATCACTTCTGGTTTGCTCCACATCTCACTGTGCACCAACTACTTCATTTTTCTAAGTGCTCTGACTATTCTGCCTGTCAAGGAAATGTTCGTTTGCTCCCAACAGGAAAAGGCTGTGTACCTGCAAGTAGAAAGCAAATAAGGTAATAATGAAAATAGTCAAGGCTTGTGAAGCTCTGTCAAAACGAGAGAGAGAGAGAGAAAAATTCATTAATGGAACAATAGTTTGTGAAGAAAAATGTTTAAAATGCGTTAACTTATACATACTGTTGTATAAACTCTGTGCTTGGGAAAATGTGGGAATTGTACAGTACTAAGAGTCCTGTTTTCTATCTACAAAACTCTCGACTTTTGTAGCACAATCCACCAGTCTCCCCTACCCAATGATATAACCTGGTTTCAGATGCAGACAGTGCTTAAAATTCATGGACAACGGGGGAAAGAGCAAAAATGGGAAATAAAAATCTGAGCATCTTCCAGAGTCAAAATGAATGGACAAGACAATGCCTTAGTGCTCCTTTGCACTGCAGCATAAGGCAATGCATACTGCCCTGGAGCATATCTCCATTGTAAGGAGGTCCTCTGACCAGCAAAGAGTAATGGATCTGCACCTTCCCCCTAGCTCCAAGCCTTCAGCACAAGAAGCATGCCAGGACTTGTAAGGAAAGGGAAGGGAGGAGATGTGGCCATAATACACTGCTCCATCTCTTCTTGACTACTGGGAGGTCTTTGCAGTCCTGGATACCTGTGGACAAGTCAGAGCAGCTTGCAAGCCTCTCTGATTTCATGGGAGTGCAACAGGCTCCTAGTATTGTCAGTAATAAAGACAGCACACATGTGGCTCTCTGTCTCTGCACGAGCCTTTGAGGATCAAGACCACATTGTGTAAGTCTTTGGTACAGTCCAGGCCAGCTGGCCTTTGCCCTTACTCCTAAACAAAATGGTACAAAAACTGACTTGGGGTAGGCCACACACTTGTGTACAGACGCAGCCCTCAGTTAGTGGTAGTTTTTAGGTAGCTGCTACCATTTTATCTACACAGTTCATGACAGAAGTTGCCCTCACTCAGTAGCTGCTCTTGTTTAATACAATATCTGCTCCTTTATCATACACCTTTAAGCAAAACTGTAGGTCAAAGCAATTAAATGTCACAAAAGCAACAGCTCTTAAACAAAGAAATAGAGGCTGTTCCCTCTACTAGCATAGCCAAAGGCCATGATTATAATTTATTACTAAACAAAGGCCCACATGTATGACATGACTAGCTCCGAACTATGGTATGCAGGTAATGACATGGTACAAGCCTTATTTATGCTGTGAAACAAGCTGTTACCTTTATTGCAGCTAGAGAGGACCTTAGTTCATTGCTGCTGCACAGATGCAAATCCCATGGACTTGAGCAAGAGCCCTAAGTACAGACTAGCAGCTGGGGGGAGATGCTGACTAGCGTCATCATGAGCCAGATTTCAAGAGCTCGTGGCCTGGTTCTTAAAACTGCTCATCATCACCCACAAACCAGTAGCATGCTTTCAAACGCTCCCCCTTCAAAACTGAACAAAAGCTAGACTGTCAAAATGCTCAGCACCCAGTGAGCTGAGCTGGGTTGAAAGTCAGTTCCTATAGGTACTGAGCCTTACTAGCCGCTTCAGCACCACTGATGCTCTGCCCTTCAATTAAAGGGGGGGCATAATGCTTGGTCACCCTTGCAAAGCACTTTGAGCTCAAGGCGTGAACGGTGCAAAGTATGTTATTATGTGTAATTTGAATCCCAGTGTAAAATACCAGTATTGAAACTCATAATTGATCGGGAGAAGCTGGAGAACACGGTGAGCTTGGCCATTGGTTGCGGCACAGCCCCTCTATGCTGCAGCCCCAGAGGATTCCAGCCGTGAGCCAGCATCCATGTCTCCAATGCATCACACAAATGCAGGGGAATCTCCACCTAGAAGGAGCCAGCATAGGCTCCTCCAGGCACTCTCCTGATATCTTAGGGTGCCTGGAGAAAAGATGACACCACTGGGATATCCTGCCATTACCCCTGTACACTCAGCTGTGGTTGGGGTTGTTTGGGGCGGCTAGCAGCTGCCATATGTTGGAAGAGCCATAGGTGCAGCAGGGTGCCAGCCTTGCACACAGCAGCCCCTGGCTTTGGAGAATGCAAGAATAAGGTCTACACTGCTTTCCTAGCCACTGCAACTCACGCTGTGGGCTCCCTACAGCACCCAAAAATACATCACGCTGTGTTTTTCTTGCTTAGATTTTACTGTGCAGTCTCACATTTTACCCTCTGCTATCCCTATTTGCAGGGCTAGCACTTTAATTAGACTTAAAACAACTCCCGCCCTCCTGATGTTAACTTTCATTTCAGTTTCAACAGAACAGGTGTCAGGAGAAATGAATACCATTGCATTTAGCTATTTAATTAATAGTGGAATATTAGAATTAGTGTGGTAATGAGTAAAACACTATTTGAACCTGTAGCAGTGTCAGAGCTCCTGAGTTTTGGTTAAAAAGAAAAAGAATATGAAACACTAATGAGTTGTTATAAAGCCTGAGGTCTGGGAACAAAAGTGTAATTTTTCAACAGCCAATGAGAATCCTACTTTCAGCCTCATAACTTCTATTATTAATTTTCAACTGGCAATAAGGGCTATTTATGGCTTTTATTTCATCAGTATCTGCTATAGCAATTAGAACATTTAGATGTTTCCTTTCTATACCTCTGAAGAATTGTCTAAGTTATCAGCAGATATAGGAGTTCAAGCTATTATGTCAGAATAAATTACTCTCCTTCCTGACAGCAAAGACAACCTACATTCAAGTACCCTGTTAACCAGGGCCCATTTTCTCCATGATTCCTAAATCTCAGGATTTGTTGCTAAACTCTTTCTTTTGTAGAAGTGAGATACAAAATCTGAACTTTCCTAATGTAAGAAAAGGCTGTGGAAATAACTTCAAAAAGGTGAACAGTGTGAACCAGGGCAGGTCTGCCTGACTGCATCTGCAAGAAGTGCCTGTTACCACAGCCACAGAGGTGTGAATTGTCCCCTTCCTCTCCACCAGGCCTCTGGAGATGCCACAGCTCTGCGATTTTCTAACATGTAAAATGCAGCATTTTTGCCAGTAGTCACCCAGGATGTGGCATTGTCTTCTGTCTTCCTGTGCTGCTGGAACTGCATGCAGCTGCATCTAATTCTGCAGCTGTCCTCACAAGGGGGAGCTGGATTACAATGCATGTTCCATGGCCTATTCCAGAGCCAGGCAGCAAAAGATTGTGCAGCCAAAGCTGAAGTGCAGCTTACAATGAGGAATAACTGAGAGCAGCAGGAAGGAGATGACCCACCAAAGTAGGCTATATCCCTCACCCTTCCTTGGCACATGTCCATGGGAAATTGCAGCAAAATTGATTTAGATTGAATATCAGGAAATTTCTTTGCTGTCAGAATAGGGAGGCAGTGGAATAGATGTCTAGGGAAGTTGTGGACTCCCCATCATTGGAGGTGTACGAGAAGAGGTTGGATAGGCATTGGTCAGGGATGATTTAGCTGTAGCTATGCCTGTGCTCTACAAGTATTTTCCAAGCTTCTGGGCTTTGCTGATTGTTACATGGGACTGGGAGAGAATTTATTTTCCCTTCCTGCTGCTACCTGTGTCAGAGGGTTTTTTAAGCCTTCCCCAGAAGCACTGGGTGTTGCATGCAGGCAAGGCTGGGGAGTTTGACTGGGGTGTGCCGATATTCCTTCTGGGGCTTTAACATAAAACTTCTTGGCTACAGGGTTTTGCCCCTCCACTCAGGGTCAGACCGATTTCCATATTTGGGGTCATGAAGGAATTTTACCCCATGGTCAGGCTGGTAAAGACTGTAGAGATTTCTGCCTTCCCTGCAAAGGAAGGCAGGGAAGGCAGTGGGGGGCATGGCCCTCTACCTGGGATCTCTTGAGCATATATTAATAATATTTGCAACAGCAGGACACTGGCTGCCATGATCCACCTGCTTTACCAGTGGCAGTTTCAGGTGCTATGTCTCGTGGTTGTGTCAGGGTTGTCTATATAGTTTTGCTAAGAGGTTAGACAATGGGTTTGTATAGGATGGTTTGGATAGGGATAATCTTGCCTCAGGCAGGGGGTTGGACTAGACGACCTTTGGAGATCCCTTCCAGCTCTGCTTCTCTATAATTGAAATGTGATTCTATGCTGGAGGGTTGTTGGTTGTAGCCGTGTTGCTCTAAGGACATAGGCAGGCCAAGTTCTTTAGATAGGTGTGATATCTTTTATTAGACCAACTTTATCATGCATTAGCAGATGCATGTCCAGGGAGGTGATACATCCCCTGTATGCAGCCCTGACCAGTTGGAGTACTGCATCCAGTTTTGGGTGCCGCACTTCAAGAAGGATGTGGACAACCTCGAGAGGGTTCAGAGGAGGGCCACTTGTATGGTTAGGGGCCTGCAGGCAAGGCGCTACGAGGAGAGACTTTGGGCCCTGGATCTCTTCAGCCTCCGCAAGACAAGGCTGAGAGGGGATCTTGTGGCCACCTGCAAATTCATCAGGGGGGAAGGTAGGGCAGCAAGGAATAGGAGATGTTCTGCGCACCAGGGCACCCCTTGGAGTAACTAGGAACAATGGCCACAAACAGACAGAGAGCAGATTTAGGTTAGACATCAGGAAGAACTTCTTTACGGTGAGGATTGCCAGAATCTGGAGCGGGCTTCCAAGGGAGGTGGTGCTCTCCCCTACCTTGGGGGTCTTCAAGAGGAGGCTGGACATGCACCTGGCTGGGTCGTCTGACCCCAGCCAGTGCTCTTCCCTGCCCAGGAAAGGGGGTTGGACTCAATGATCTGCTAAGGTCCCTTCCGAACCAAACATCTATGAATCTGTGAAACAGTTGGAAAAAAGTTCTTTGCAAGCTTTCAGGCAGAAACACCCTTCTTCAGGCATTGCAGAGTGTCCCAATGCCTGGAGAAGGGTATTTGTGCCCAAAAGCTTGCAAATAACGTTTTTCCAACTATTTAATTGGTCTAATAAAAGATATTCTATGCTGGGATGTTTGAATGGCAGCACCCTGGGGGCCAAGCTGTGAAAAATTCCAGCTTAAAAAAATAATTGCCACGAGTGATCACTTTTGAATGCTATGGCAATGACTTGTTATAATGGTGAGCCACCACGGGGTGCGTTTGGGAGAGAAACAGGAAGGTTGGGAATGAGGAGTTCTCTTTGCAGGGAGAATAAATTTACACTTCCATAGGCTGTAGCTGCAAGAGGCAGAAATGCTTGCTTCTGAATTTGGTCTGATTTGACCACAGAGTACAAAGGACCCTGCCACTGATCATATATAGCCAGTCTTACAGTCCTACTGTGCAGAAGCCTCAGCTCAGTAGCTACATATAATAGGTCTACAACAATGGATGTTTTAAATTCCACATGCATTCAATTTAGGATATTAAAAAACAGTAAAAATAAACATATGATAAGCAAAAATGTCAAAAATTTGACATACTTAAAGTATTCCTGATATCCAGTGCAGAAAGGATTGGAAACTATGTTCTGGAAGAAGTAACTATATTTTCGCATTTCTTCTTGACAATAATAATAATCTGTTGGTGTAAAAGAGAGGAGGCAGCGAAAAACTGGATTTCCAGAAATATTTTCCTTGGGCTCAGAGAGCTCTGGGATGCAGGACTATGTGTCACTGACTCACACTCCCAACAGTAGCAAATGTCCTACTTGCTCCAATAGCAGCAGAGTTGCTCCTAAATTATACACTTCATTAGCAGTCTCCATTTTAGAAATTCTACAAAAGTTCAGTCATTGGTTAAGTGCCAGCTGCCAACCACGAGTAGTATGGTAGCTTCTCAAAAGACAGCTGATGCCAGGGAAGACTGGCACAACCACACAGGATTCGCATTACTCTGAGGAGCAGCCAAGAAAACTGGCAATCATATTAAAACCCCAAAGAGAACTGAAAGGAAACTCACAAAAACCCTAGGAAAGGAAAATAAAGGGTACGGTCAGCCAGAGACTTCAGTAACAGATTTCTGGAACCAAATAACGTTAGAATGTGGCGAAGTCAACATGACCTGAAGCAAAATCTGTATAAATTAATGGGGTTTACATGTCTATCAAATAAGAAAAGGCTATAAACAACACTGAATACACTACATGAAAGAACACTACTGAGCCAAGGCGGCTGGGTCAGCACACAAGCAATTCAAGTTGAAATGTGCTAGGAAGACTGAATCAGAATGCCCCTGCAGAGCTCAGATCCACATCCCCATAAATGGTGATTCAGGAGGTGTTTGTGCATCAGTGAAGTTGAGGAAAATGTACTGGTCAGCCATGAAAAATAAATATATATAAACAGATAGAGAGTTACTGTCCTTGGAATAAGCCAGCATTTGAAGGACAGGCAGAATGATTTGACAATAGTTGCATCTCCATTTGGAAAGAAGGGTGAATTAGTTATCAAATGTCAGCAGATCTCTGTCCATCACCAGGAGAATAGGATTCTTCCTCTTCCAAATATCTCAGACCCTGCATGGGATTTCCAGAACCCATTTCTGTGACTGCGTTTTAGCAGTGGAGCTCTGCAATTTGAGCATGCATAAGCCCGAAGGAGCCCTCTGACTACAGCTTCCTTGTTCTGACTGACCAACACAGAACAGGCTTCTTGGGCAATACTGTACCTGGCGCAGGCACTGACTGTTCCTTTACTTCTTTGTCAGACTAGAAATCTGCTGAAGTATTACTATAGGTCAGTTATTGTCAACAGTGTTTTGTGAGGAAATAAAGCAAGCTTGGAGCAATTCAGCCTAGTAATGTGAGACCAAGAAACCACACAGCTGCAATATTTGCTCCTATTTTCCATATCCTGTAACCATAGACAATGAATGACACTACGGTGATTAAGTAAATAATTAATACTATTGCTGTTCTACTGAGGGAGAGAGAGAGCATTGTGGGGATGTAATCCCAGCCCCACCGAAGTCAATGAAAGAGGAGTTCATACTGGAAGGATTATATCAAATTAATGCTTTATGTTTAGATTGCAAAATCCTGTTAACTATGTCCATGCACCCCTTTAAACTGCAGCAGATTAAAAAAGCTACATGCATGGGTCAGTGTAATGTATGTACATTAGGTCATATAAATTAAGTGCAAATATACTACAACTTATTTGAAATACTATAGTAAGAGAATAATTAAAGACTTTCCATGGATATTACAACTCTGCAGAATGCCTTGAATGCTAAATCCACTAGACACGGTGGTGGTTATAAAGTATGCAGCCAGAAGGAGCTTGTTCATGGAAAGATGACTTTGTATTACTTTTGTATAATTGCAAATAAGATGTATGCGTACAGAATGGTTTATATTACAAAGCAACATTTAAAATATAAAAATGGCCCCCAAATTATAAACTCCTCCAAAACCAAAGTGGCCCTTCAACTGACTTCATCTGCTTATATCACCATCCAACCATTGCCTTTCTTTAAAAGAGAATACATCATTAGCCATGTGAAGTGTACTTTTTTTCTAGCTACTCTGATCAAGATTCTCAGGGGATTTCTGTGTCAAGATAAAGGACATCCAAATGGGCAAAATTTCTGCTCTGCCATTTGTTCACTATGCTGCTCAGTCAGAGACTGCATTCTGTCATGAAAAGTGTGTGTCATTTTTCCTCCCTCCAAATTATGCGCTGAGCAACCTATGAACTATTATTTTCTGGATTTTACCAAAAAATCTGTAAGACTAAGGAGTGTTGTACACTGCATATGTTCACAGAGAGGTACAACTTAATGCTCTGGATACATGTAATTTTTGTCATTATTTATTCCTTAGTTTTTGCATTGTCTTTAAAATCTCTGGCATAGTCTCTCTCTCTCAGATGATTTGCAAAGGTGTAATCAAGTGAAACTTGCCTTTAGTGACAGAAAAGCAATTAGAAAAGCCAGTACATTGCAGAGATGATTCTTAACGAAACGTTGAACAAAATAATGCCCTAGGTGCTTCTCCTGCCACGACTATATGGATCTAGCACAGAGGTGGATGAAATAAGGCCTGCTGGCCAGATCCGACCTGCGGAGCAATTTTGCCCAGCCCACTGCGAGTCCCTTGGCCCCTGCCAGCCCAGGCACAGGGGCAGCCGGGGCCGTGGCATGTGCCTAGGTCCACAGTGGGGCTGGGGCAGCGCAGCTGCCAGACTCTGTTCCCAGCAGTCCCGGCAGTGGCGGCAGTTCTTTCTGGCTGCTGCTGCCATCAAACCCAGCCCTGCAGCCCAGGATCCAGCCTGTCCAGACTCAGCCTGTGACACCTCAATACAACTCCCTATGTTGCCTGCAGGCCCAAATAATTGCCCACCCCTGCTCTAGCACCTGGTGGACCTCAGCATCACTGCTCAATGGCCTATGTATACCATGCTCCCAATAGGCCCCTAGAACCCTGTCCCCGAGGTGCTCTCTTCAACATTTCCTCCTAACTGCTATTAAATCTGGACGCTTCTCCCACCCCGCAGCAGAAGGAATAGAGCAGCAGCAAACTCACCAGGCAGCTCACTGTTAATCAATCACTCCTCAGCTGATTCATCACAATGGATGCCCTCCTTCTCCTAAGTGACACCTGAGAGTAACCTGTGGCTTCGGTATTACTGAGCACAATGGGAGATGAGAACATTTTGGCAGCAGTTTTCTGTGGAAGTCAGTACAGCATTGTGATCCATGTATGGATAACATGGAAAAATTAATGTTTACCCTAAACAAATAAGCTACTGAACAAAATTTCATATGTAGCCAACCCATAAAATGTCAATGAGTTTAAGCTGATGTGAATTTTGAAGCATCTGTGCAAATGTCTGACACTGAATGTCAAACTTCTTTAAAATATTTATAATTAATTTTATTCCTAAAATAATAAATGTATGTACTTATCAATTTTCTGAAATCTGATTCTATAATATAAAAGCAAGTGCTGTAATTCTGGAAAGGTTATGCTGTGTTTTCCATACAAAGAAAAAGACTGAACCCCAGATTTAAGTGAAAAATTCCACTTCAACTGTAGATGTACAACTAGCGAGCGTGCAAGGTGATCATTATTACCATGTTAGTGATACATGAGAAAACATTCCTAAGTTCGTCTCAGTAAAGCTGTGTTGTGCATTTCAAACAGCCTCCTGTTCAAGCAGCTCTTAACAAACGGAAGCAGGAACAGCTCATTGAACGGAGAATGTTGAAGTTGCTGTGGAAATCAGGAAAGGGGGATAAAAGATGGTATTTTACACCAAAAGACAAGTGACAACATATAATACATGTTATAGAGCAATTATGTGATAAAAAGAGAGGATTTCTTTTTCTGGTACTGTCCAAAATATTATTTGTGTTCACATCAGGGACAAATATCTCCAGGCAAAAAGAAGCACTTGAGATCTGTCTGATTGGAAAGCATTCATCTGGCAGATTAATTATTTTTGAAGCAACTGCAGCAATGAACTGATTAATGCATAAAGCTATCTCTTCTGCTTTTATAAAAGGTCACATTAAGCAAGCTGCATATCCCTGAAAAGATTTAGTCTCACTGGAAGCTCTTTATGCCCTCATCGTGTGTGGGAAGGAGGCACGTTGGTTAAGGCTGGAAAGGGTACAGTTTTCCAAAAGCATGTATTTGGTGGCAGTACTTGCCTGGTACGTTGTATTAGCCAGACTGGAGGGTAGAGATGTAATGGACTTCAGGAACTGCTCAGCAGAGCACACAGTTAATGTGTAGTGTTTCCAGCAGCAGGAAGGATGTCACGGGTACTTTCTGCAGTAGACCCTGCACTATCAAGGAAAGAGATAGCACTCAATTACCCACTTTTTGCAGCTGGTTAGATTGTTGCAAATCATCTTCCCCATTAATTTAGCCCTGGTCTTCTCTGTGACAACCAATTGTCTAGGCTCGGGAGCAGAATCTGCTGTAGAGGGCACAGAGCTCTCTACCAATATCCCTCAAGCTTGAGACTTCTGCCCCATCCCTCTACCTCTGGTCTCTCTTCTCCTTGCTGATCCCCAGGCCTACTCTCATTCTCCTCACAGAGCCGGTTCCAGTCCCTACTTCTCTTGTCCCAGATCCTTGTCTGTCCTGTCTCACCCACCAAACCGCCATCCCTGTTTCACCTGGTTCTCAATCCAAGTCTTTCATCCAGGCCTCCTTATCTGATCTTACTGAGCTGCCTCAACTCTGTCTCAATCTCTTTACCCAGCCAATTCTGTTTTCCCCCAAAAGTGTAAATTGCCTTCACCAAGGACATGAATGCCTTGTTCACAGTTAAAACAAAAATGTCCGAGCCACCAAGACATATATCAGTGAGTTTGACCAGGTGTCCCTGAAGACTATTGGAGTTAGCTGTGTAGGACAGGTGACACAGAGAATAACATTGGGTTTTGAACCAGGGAGACTGTAGGCCGGGGGGGGGGGCGCAAAATGCACTGACCAAACTTACTACAGAAGTGACCACAATAAGTTCACAAGCTTGTGATGCTGTATTTAAAGCAGTCACTTTTTTATAATGTAAGGGTGAAGGGGCTGCATGCTAATGGAGCCTGTTTAGAGAGCCCTAATGAAGCAGGAAGAGAGAGCAGGCCGGATGGGTGGGAAACAAGAGTTATTAACAGTGCTGGACAGATACCATGTGGTTGCAGCAGTATAATCCTTACAATGTCTCCCCTTCAATACATCAGACTTCACCTTGAGTGATACTGTAGGGCAAGGGGAGGAAGGTACTTCAGTTTTCTTGTGATCTTGGATCCTTAGCTTGCAGGTAAAACTGCCCACATGGTTTTCCTTTAGTGTCAAGTAGAATAAGGACGATTATGTTGTGGATACCTGCCAGCTAAGAACTGAAGTAAGACTGCTACCACACTACAGACACATGCTTTCGAATCAGCAGCATTCACTTATCCTGTATTAGTGTAATAACATTAGCATTGCCTCTTAATGAACATTGACAGTTAGTTATTCTCATTCTCATTTATTCCAAATTTTAAAAAGAAACAAAAGAGAAAAGGAAGAATCTTGGTTACAGATGCTAGTGGCAAGTGGTGTGGTGCATGTGTTCACAGGGATGCGATTGTTTTCTGTGTTGCCACCAGTATGCTGCTGGCAGTATACTGAACAAGTGGAGACCCTTGGCTATTACCCCACAGTAAAATAAAATAGTTCATGAACTCCAGCTGTTTGTTCAGGATTAGATTGCCACCTTTACTCACATGGAGTACTTTTCTTCAGGAGTCATCGCATAAAAATCAAAGAGTAAAGTTCTATTCAACATAAAAGAGTGATAAATTCCAGCCCAATTTAACTGTTCATTTCTTGACCTTACAAAACTTGCACACCCATGATTAGTTCTGATATAATATCTATCCTCCCCATCCTTAGCTCGCTCAGTCACCCAAGGTATTCTTCAGACTTGTTTTTAATGATGTAAATCTTCCTGAATATACCCAAGATACAAATAAAGCATTGGATATGTTTGCAGGCAGTCATTATCGTTAACTGTTTGAAAATGTCATGCTACGTACCTAAATCTAATTTCCGCCAAACGAACACAACACTAGCAATCTCAGTGGTAGAAGTAACGTATTTATTCTGAAAAGGAACTGGACGAATCTGCGAGTAATGGTATGACAGGGGCACGGGGTTTGGTGTCAAGGATACCGATGTCACTGCAGGAGAATGAAGGAATGAAAACGCTTGGCAACTGCCGGGACCAGGATGCCAGTATACAGAGTGCAGGGGGAAAAGGACAAGGTAGTCAAAGTGCCTCTTTCTCTTAGAGCTCCTCACAGCCCCCTTTCATGTTCCAGCCCAGAACGCGGTCTGAGAGGCACTGCACTTTGATCAACCTTAGGAACCCCCACCCCTCCATCCCCAACAAACCTACTCATCCTCTGGTGTAGGTGTGGAGATGGGAGATGTAAATTAGCAGTGTCCTGCACAGTAGGGAGGAGATGGTAGACTAATTCTGCTCCTAGTAGCCCTGGTTTTTGTCCAGGATAACTATTCTCAGTCTCTCTCTGAAATCTTTGTTCCAGCTCCTGTGCTCTAGCGGCCCAAGGCACCATTCATACCAGTGTAGCTACCCCACTGGCGCACAGCTTTCCTGTCCCAAGGAATGGAGACATTTCCAGTCTGTCCTAGAATGATAGCGATTCTTGGCTGCCAGGAAGACCTCTGGGGCACTGGCAGCCAAGTCAAATTAGATCAGCTTTAAGGCTGCTCTAGTTTCCACTGACAACTGGAAAGGCAAGTATATAGCCTCAGGATGGCAGGGGTGCAATGGGTAACTTTCATGTCCCCTTTGGATGAGGCAGCTGCTAAGGATCTGGCACACTGGGAGGGACTGAACATGAACAGAATTTCTGTAACGAGCTGAAAAAACAGGAGGCATTTTGCATTGGCATGTCCCATGCCTCCCGCTGCAGTCTCTGCGCATTGGCACACTGGCCCTGACAGATGCAAAGCGCTTTTTATTCCTTCATTCTCATTCTGTGACAGCAGTACACATTACACCGAGCACTGTAAATGTATTAATCAATTATTCTCAAATCCCCCAATTCCTTTTCAGAGCAAATATATTACTCACAAACTTGGCATTGCTCGTGGAGGGATTTGCTTTTAGAGACAGCTCAGTATAGGTACCCTTGCCTGATTTTGTAAATAATTAGAAATATAAGCTACACATAAGGCTGGAGGGGGGATAATTTAGGATTGGTGCCTTTAAGTATAAATATTTTACCAACTGGATTTTTTAAAATCTTCATGGTGTAAGTGGATTTCTGCATGGCCTAATATTTGCCCAAACTCCCTGTATAGGTATCTAAGATCATCCCTTTTAGGCCCAAGAAAGGTAGAGCTGATTTGAACTGAATTTATATAGGATGTTATTCAAAACACAGGACTGGAAGTATTTCATAGGTCTTTCCTCACAAGGCACCCCATCATCATATAACCCTTTCAATAAACTGGGGTCCATTTTAAAAGCAATTAGGTTTCCACTCCCCTGCCCTGTTCACTGGAAGGCTGTTCCAGATCCTCAGTCATCTGATGGTTAGAAATCCTCCACCTAATTTCCAACCTATACTTATTCACAGCAGCTGATGTCCATTTATTCTTGTGTGACACTGTCTTGTAGCTTAAATGGGCAGTTCTACAACTTTTGGGACCAACAGACCATTGCCAGCCCTCAAAACTTCTCATCAACCACAATGCATCCTTAACATCAAGTTTCTCACTGGAAAGGCTGGGTGCCAATGCCATCCACAGCTGAGACCTTGGATCACTTACCTTGGCTCTATGGACAACCAGTGGCATCTGGAACACAGTCTGGGAACCTGGCTCTTTTCCTTTCCTGGTGCTTACCTTCCATCCTCCACCCTCTCCCCACACACACAGTGTATTTAGAGAGAAGTCCTAACCCTCCTCAGCCTTCATTTTACTAGATAAAGTTCTTGTGGGATAGGCTGTCTATGCCACTGATCCTCCTAGCAGTCTTCTCTGTACCTATTCCAGCCTAACTTCATCCTTCTTGAATATGGGGACCAGAACTGCACACAGTAATCTAGATAAGGTTTCACCAGAACTCAGTACAAAGACTTAAATACTTCCCTCCCTGAACAGTGTCCTGGAATCACTTTTTTCTTTGCAGGATCACTTTTTTCTTTGCCTTTGCTATATCACATTGGTGACCCAATTATCTGGCACAGTCGCCAGCAGCAACTCCCACACTCCATTCAAAGTGGGTTGGAATTTACATGTCCACAAGCTGTCTTTTTCCTTCCTTAACTCCAAATTAAGTGGGGTGAAAAATAAAATTGAGAAGAAGACTTGGAATTCATTGGACCTGATTTCCCTTTTACTTACACAGGCTTACCTCCATGGATTTCAGCTCAGCTACTCGTGGTTTACACCAGCAGAAGGGACTGACACTGCACACTGGATTCCAGAAAGCCAAAGCAACTAATATAGCAGAATAAAATGTAAATAATAAGGAAGTTTCCCTTCTGGCTACCTGAGAGCTTTCTGAATTTCTTCTAAAAGTTCTCATTGGGTTACCTGGATCCAATCAACACCCTTCTCAGCCCTAATACTTCAGATCCACCCTTTTCCAGGCACTGGGACGTCACAGGACATTTAACCCAAGTTCCATGGTCAGATGGATGAGTGTAACCCTGCTAAGATCAGTATGGGCACAGGGGAAAGAATTCCCTATCTTTGCTATCATTTTGCATTTGGCTGCAGCAGACCATATTCTGTAGTGATCAGAGACAGCTGCTTTGAATAAGCTCCGGAAAGAGCTAAAGATCTGATTGTGCCTAAAGGTTCACAGTGGGAGGGCACCCTCTCATTCTGCCACACAAAAAGGCAGCTCAGATGTTTTCACAGCAGCCTTCTTTCCCCCCTCGTAATCTCACAAAGGACAATTATTTGTGGAAAAATTGTGCCTATGCCCTGCAGAGCTTTGACCATCTGATATAATCTGATGCCCTCCCCCAACTCCCCATCTCCAGCTCCCTGGAGCACTGTATCTCTTGCACCATGCTGCTAGTCGTTCCCCCAGCAAGAGCTATGTCTGTGTACTGCTCCCCTCTCAGTAGGTGCCTGGAAGTCCCAGAGGGAGAGTTAATGCTGAAATGTAGCCTTAATGTACACAGTAATTTGTAGCTTGAATTTTGATGCTTTGGAAGAAAAGCCTGCTATGCAGAGCAGGTGCTCTATCTCCCAAACCACTCCCACCTGCACGGCAAGCCTCTGCACAACAGTATCGGTGACAGATAGGTACAGGGTGGAAAATACTATCTTTGCTGTTTAACAGTCTTACAAGCCTAGCTCCTCAATATTACCATGCTTGTGCTGTCATTAATGTCACCCAATGGAGAGAAGCATACAGCTGATATTAGTATGGAGCTGCAAAATCTTTGTGAAGTAAGCTGTTGCCTCTTCATTTTCTAGCACTGTAAACTGGAAAGGAGGCAGCTTCCTGTGAATGTACCTACCCTAACATTTCAGGTGCAAGTTACCTACCACACAGTTCATTTACTTAAAATAGACCTCAGAGTGATCCATGTTATTCATACAGCATAATGCCACTAAAGTATCACTTAGATGGTGATTTCCAAGTGGATGTTTTATGTCATGTTGCCTGCTATATAGTCTGTGTGCACATGTAGTTTTCAAAAGGGTGTGTGGTGTAGTCATTTCAATGGGTTTGACTTAGTTTATGCCCAATACCATGAAAAGCTAAAGAATTTGCCAAATTCTAGTTCAAAACATTCTAGCTTAAAATAGTCATGGATTAGGGAAAAAAACACTGTCTTTATTTTTTTAAAAACCTCAGTACACCACCTTGTTTTGCACAGAACTGACTGCATCTGGGAAAAGAACACATGCTAATTATATATATGCTAATATATATATATATATATATATATACACCTTACGATTATCCAGGAATTAGAGAGCTAGCTACTCTGTCATAATACTGTGACTATGCATTTTCATTCCAGGTTGAAGATACAAGAGAAAGGCCATGTTTATCCAAAGTTGCATTGTGATGAACTAGATCTCAGTGTAAGTCTACATTCATACCTTAAAATATCAAGAAAAAATCTGAATTACTGCAAACATGTGAGTGTTCAATAACTCAAATCTTCCCTGCATCTACACAAAATCTTCCTTGCAAAACTGACAGTCACATATTTCTGATACCCAGAGTAGAACCCATGGAGTCGGCATTTGTATATCTCAGCTCCTAAGTCAATGAAAGCTGGAAGTATTCAAAAGGGCAAACTGTGGGAAATGGTGTTTGTACGTTTGTGTTTCTATATGTAAAGTGTTAACTGATTGCTTTAATGTGCAGTGTGCATTGTATCTGAACTAAAAACTCACTAAAAGATATATGTAAGGATACCACAATAGAGCCAATTGATGTAGTGCGTAGTATGAGAAACTTTAAGCCTAAAAAATATGAACAAGAAATAAGCAAACACGACAGTACCAAAAAATGAAGGGAAAGGCTGACAGTTGTATGAATTAAGATAAAGTATAAGCTGACCCTTTTTTCACCTTGTCAGTGAAAAAAAAAGTGGTATAATGAAAAGATGACAAAAAATAGGAATCAGAATGAATAAAGACTCTATTTATCGTCTTTCAGCACAAAAGAACATAGGGAATGGCATGGCAGAACAGACATCGAGCCCAATATCCTGCCTCTGATACCCAATGATACTTCAGAACCTCCATGGTACTGTCACCACTGTCCTCCGTTGTTCGATGCTGTGCCACAGGAAGATAAAGGAATTTCTTTGACTGCCCTAAAGTGTGAGGTTTTTAACAGTTTGTGGGATTGAAAATACTTATTTCTATTTATAAAATTCTCTAACACTGTTTACGTTTGCTAAATTACTTGCCTTAACAATACCGTATGCTAGTAAATTTCACAAATTAAATACACACACCATATAAATGCATGCAGCAAACAGATAGATAAAAAGGCTGTGGCAAAGCCATCCATTTTTTTTAATGGGTGGAAGAACCCTCTGAAACACCGAGGTTAGGATGGACAGTTTCATTTCACACTGACAACTCTACTGTACAATAAAGTGCTGAATATGTTGCATAAAAGAATCTAAATTGAGTTCTAAAGGATTCATTGGTAACCTAACTGCATTATAAAGATCAATAATATAGCATTAACTTGGCTGCACTGGACAGACAAAGGTGGTTATGCTATTTAGAGTTCCTACTGCTCATTAAAGTTTTTTGGGTTTTTTTAAAAGCTAAACAAGCATAATTATTTAGTACTCAAGTTGACAAAAGTAAAGTAATTTCAAAATTGTCTGATTTAAAAGAGTACTAACAGAAAATAAAAGGATTGGTACAACATACCCTGTTACACTATAAAACCTGAAATACAACTACTGATACTTTGATATAGTTCTGGGGTGTCAGAATAAGACTATAATTGCTATAATAGCATCTTAACAGCTGCCAAGAAAACTGTCTTCACTTTAATATAACTACTAAACCTAAGCACAGATTGCCCCAGCACAATAGTAAAACATGACAAGCTGTCAGTTTCCCTAGATACTCTCATTTGCTGGTATGTACATTAATGAAATGCTTGAAGGAATGGAAATCATTAGCACAAATATTGCGCAAAGCTGTTAGATCTCCTTTCAGTTAATTTTAAAAAGTTTATCAGCTATTTCCGAACTTTGTCAAGCACCCTACCTGTAAACAAATACCTGCTGTGCCAACTAAACAAATCAAATGTATGATTGAGGAAAGAACTGCGTATTGCTCAAAGCTCAGTGCTGTTTTTCACATCCAAGAAAAGGTCAAGAACTGTGACTAAGGCTCTGTGGCTCAGTCTACACTCCTATTAAGGCTATGCTCAAACCAACATTTATCAGCCATCTGCACTGAAAACTCCTCCACTCAGGAGACCACCCTGACTTCAGGAGCCCCACTAAATGCTTGGGTCCAAGGTTGTCCCTACCTCTCTCCAGTGTATCTGGGACTCAAGCTGGTGGTGGAGGTGATCCTGTAGAAAGCTACTGCTCACTTCCAGCCCTTCTTCAACTTACCTCCTGTCCCCACTACCCAAAACTGGAATCAAACACAGGCCTATTTGTTGTGCTTGGGGAATATGAGCCTAGGCACACCATGAACAACTGTAAGCTCCCCTTAAAAACAGAGGCCACTGAGACAACAACAGCTGACCACTTGGCACAGACGAAAAAGAAAACAGGGAAGAGAGTGAAGTCACAGGTTCACAACAAGGGGTCTGGAAGGGGCACCGAGCGGAGCACACCAGCCAGTGCCCACTGCCCCCTGAATGAATCGAGGGAGCCTGTGGATGCCAACCAGTGAAACTCTGCCCAGAGATGTGAGCGGAGGAGAGAGGGGAAGACAGCCTCACACTCACCCAGAGCCTCCTTCCTGCTCAGGTATATCACTAGCTTGGCTAGGGCCAGCAGGATGTTGACCAGGAGGTCCTGGGACTTCGTCGGACCACAGATGGGAAGTGCATACAAGAAAAGGTGCAGGGAGAACTGCAGTCAGAACCTCAGGAGGAGGATCTGGACACAGGAGACACAAACAAGTACTTTGCAAAAAGATTCCTGGAAAGATCCTACTTAAGGAAAAGGAAGTGCAATATGACTACCTGTGGTATGGGGAAGGACGGCTGACTGGGATGAAATTTGACCCAATTCTGTCAATCTGATCCAATGGGAGGACCTCATGGAGTCTCACAACATGCAGAGCTCAGTTGCTTCAAGCTGGAGCATTACACTGTGTACCCCAAAAACACAATGCGTCCTGGAGTTGCGCATGGCAGCTGTTTCACCCAAACTGTAAGTTGCAGTGTACATTTCTGCCTGAACCAGGTGGCTTTGTTGCCCACTGCAGGGAGGAAGAGAGCCACAGCCCTGCCCCCTTACTTCTCCTTTCTGCTCACTTTCAAGGAGCCACTTTGGGTGCTTAGTCCTTGTGCTCAGGGAAATTAAAGACACTAAAGTTGCTTGGGCACTGCATGGGACGGGCTGGTAGTGGAAGAATCCCTTGTGCCCTCTACCCCTCCTTCAATAACTTCCTTAACCACAGCTGCTAACACCCTGCCATAGAGAAGAGGGATTGCACTGGGTGGATTGCCTTGTGGAATTGGGGGGGGACCAGCACAGTGGAAAGTGAGCTAGTCAGACTCCCTCCATGGCTCCCCTAATCCCCAGATTTGGATTGCATATGACCCCCATGGTCAGGGTTATTAAAGCCAGACTTTCAAAGGTAGCCATTCACTCTATATTCCTTTTTCTGGGTGCCCAATCCAAATGGTATTCCTAGGACCAACTGTTGATCAAGGAAGAAAAAAATATATTAAAGAACTCTGAGTAAACACCATCCATCCTGTACTCTGAATTAGGCAAGGGACCTGTGGAGAAAATAGTATGTGGGCATATAATTAAAGGCTATATCATAATGCACGCGTACAAGCATGCCAAATTCCCTAACTTCTGAGGGCTTGATTTTATAACCTTAATCATGTTTTTAACATAATGTCCTTATGCATAATATAACTTTGCTGTATATAGAATAATAGATGAGGAACTGTTTTGGTTACTAGGTTACATTGCTAGCTCAGGAGTTCAGCAGAGACTTTATTGTCAGAACTGCCAGGGTTTCTTTCTTGAAACAAGGGGAAAACGATGTGATTCCTGGTTTTGCATACATATGTAAACATATGGGAAAGCACTATTAACACTGCATTTGTAGAAGCTAGTTTTCAACTTGTTTACTGACTGCTCCAAAGACAGCTTCTGGTCTCATTGTCCCTCTTCCCCTCCCAGCTCTGCTTCAGCCCGTGACACGGTGGTAACTGTAATGGTAGCACAGTTCTTCAGAAACTGTGCTGGGCAACAAGATGCTGTCTTGCTTTGTCATTTTAATCACTACTTATTATTCACGTAGGTCCCTGAATGTACACAAGAGTTTACAAGGTGCATACTCGTCAGATAAAGGAATCCCAAATTGGATGGCAGTCAGAAAAGGCACAAGGAGGGACAATTCAGAAGAACACAGTATAGAGCAATCAGACTGGCAAACGGTCATTACAGCTCAAACTGAGCTTTATGCAGGAGGGAAGACAGGCCACTTGGCATACATTAACTGGCAGGCTGCTCCAAGTGAGAGTGATGTTACTGAATAAAGCAGTCAGAAAGAAATTACGGAAATATTCTTAGGGATACAGAGCCAGGCTGTATCAGTTGGGGGCTTTTAAAAATGCCTGTTCTTAATATCACACATCAAATATCTGGTGTACACCAAATACTCTTCTAAATTAAGTCAATTCAGTTCCCAGCATGATGCTACTAATATACTTGTATTTTAATTCAAAAGATAGGAGAACTAACCACACCTTGTGCAGAAGATATTTACACCGGGAAGGGGGGTCCATATGTTCATATTTCCTATTCTGAATTGGAATGAAAATGTGTTCGCTGCAACATGTTGTGAAGGGAAACGGCTTAAGTTTTGAGCGCTGTAGGAGTGTGCTACGAGACTAAATGCACATCAGTTTGCGTTTTTCCCTAAGAGTTGTGACTGAGTGCTTGCTAAAAACCAAATGCACATACCTCTTCAGAACATTACGCAGTGCAAACTGCAGGAGATCAAGCTTGATCTCAATCCCGATATCTGATACCATCGTGAAGAATTAGTAACCATGATATATCTGAAGAACGCTTCAACTACAGATGTAAGCCAGCTGCCAGATAAAAAGGCTGTCTAGATCAGGTAGCGATTATAACAGGTAATGAGGCAACCCTATCGCTGTCAGTATTATGAATATCTTGAAAGTAACTGCACCTCAGAAGAACGACAAGACGTTCAGTCGATATGAGGGCTAAGTTGTATAATGGTTCCTTGTTACTTTTTTACAGCAATTATCTGTCATTTTCATTTGAGTCACAGGTGTCTAGAGCAAAGGGATAAGTGCTTTTCCTGTGCAATCTGAGCGAATACATCCATTCTAGAGAAGCAGAATGTATTATTCATTGCTTATTCGTTGCACCTACGGTGGTTGGCAAGAAGGGCTTCTTCAGCTCAATTTGCCCTGAGCAGACAAGGAGCTGATCCCACGCACATTGCTCTCGCAGACCTGCCTAACCTCAGCCTTTTCAGCCTGGATCTCCGGGTTTTCTGGGATTTCTCAGCTCCTCGGTCCCTTCCATAACCGCGGGCAGATGGGCTTCTGAAGCATCCAGAATGGTGCGGCATTAATTGTAAGATCATTTTAGCTAAAACTGCACGTGCTTTCACTAATCCATCGTCTAAAACTGCCACAAACCAGACTAACAAGTCTTAACCTTTCTCTTGATGTTATTGCCAGCTTGTTCTTGTCCTTGTTCTGGTTTTATTTATTCGCCTTCAGTTCATTTGTGCGTTGTTTTTGTCTTTACCGTCCAGTCGTCAATACCCTAAACCTTTCATCGGGGAAAACTGTTACGTGATAAAACTGCACGGCGCACGTTTCCTTTCATAGTGACAGTGAAAATTTGTAATGTTATAGATATTTCATATTTGATTTAACTCCCCTCCCCCCCCATCGGACTATAATTGTACCTTATTAGGGGGCTCTGGATGTTTAAGAATAAAATTGCTCTGCCGAGATGGATTACAGCGTTATTAATAATTGTTCTCACTTGGACTCATAAGACATACCCGAGAAAAGACAAAGCATCCAATAATGCGTCCATAAAGCGTCGTGAACAAACGCCTTTATCAAAAGAACGGTCGTTATCGTTAACGGAAATCTCATCCTAGACACCGGGATCGAATCTGGTGCCTGGGACCTTTTCTCCATCGCTTGGAAGGTTTTTTTCGAGGGGATCTAGAAGAATCCTTGTATTTGACACGGCTCCGTGACTGCTCGCTTGTGCTTTTTCCTGCACCAGAAATTGGTAGGCTCTGTCTTTTTCAAACCAAAAAACACCAATGATTTTGACAAGGCAACCATGTTGGGTGCTGCTGTGCCCCCTCAGGTGAGGCCGGGCTCATCCATGACTCGGCGCTCCCCCGCCGCCATGTTGGATGCTGCTGTGCTGCCCCCAGCC